CCATTCGGTCTCACAAATGCACCCGCGGCCTTCCAGTGATTCGTCAACACGATCTTTGCCAACCTCTTGGACGTTTCTGTGGTAGTCTACCTAGACGACATCCTTACCTACTTGGAAGACATGGCTTCACATCAGGAGCATGTCCGAGAAGTTCTTAGGAGACTCTGCAAACACGGCCTATATGCCAATCTGAAGAAATGCGAGTTTCATACAGACACTATGGAATATCTGGGATACTGCCTCTCTCCCTCCGGACTCACCATGTCCATCGAGAAGGTCAAAGCCGTCCAAGATTGGCCCGAGCCCCATAAAGTCAAGGATGTCCAATCCTTCCTTGGCTTCGCTAACTTCTATCGGCGTTTCATCCACCAATACTCCGACATTGTGGTCCCCTTGACACTGTTGTGGGGACAACTCCGTGTACCGCAAAAAGTCGGATTCTGCGGAATTTGGCCACAAACACCCACTACATACCCGCTGACGCTCCCGATGCTCATTCTATCACTATCCAACACTCCATAAACTCATTCCTTATTTTTCCTTATTTTCTCCATCATTCCCGACAACCCCAAGCAAAATTCCCACGCCCAACCATGCCGCCAATTTCACCCCCTCTCTAGATCTCCATAACCACACATACAACCCAGCCGTTTTTCTACCTGATAGTGATGCTCTACCATCCTTCTTCACCTCCGGAGCATTTCCCAGAATGACAATCCAATGCCCAGATGGTTCAGCACGGAGTATAGTCTCATGTGGTCTTGACAGCACCTGTCAATGGCCACATCTCAAGAAGTACTGCACCAATTGGGATGAATAAGGGTTCGTTGGAAAGCTGGAGACGAGGAGGTTGCTGACGGGAGGATAGGCCGGCGCTGTGGCGAAGTGTTGCGGAGTTAACTTTCACAATTCCCATTTCGGACCCGTTGTCACATTTTCCCCATTCATTCATATTTCTTTTATTGTTTCTTTGTTCCCAATTGGACATTCCTTATTTACGGTTGCCTAACGGCCCGTTTACATCCCCCCAGTCCATTCATTCCATTTCCAACTCATATAAAATAGATAACAGCTTGTACATAACAAGTAAGTACTGAATAGACCCATGAAGGGACAAGCAGAAGTTACATCCAAGTGGCAAAGACGCCATCCACGACCCTAACGCCCCCTCTGAGCTAGTTGCTCACGTCTAAGACCCCTCACATCATAATACTCAGCCTTGACGTCCAAGAGAGATGTAGGTGAGTGTTTGTTTGAGGTTTTTGCAGACTCGGTAGCGCCCCAGGACCAAAACCCGGCCCCACGAACTGCACCCACGCACACTACCACCCTCCCCCTTCTCTCTGTCTCGAGTCTAGGCAATAGACCCGTTACAATGCGCCTCACGCGTAAAGGAGCCCCCTGGTTATTCTCTGACGATTGTCGCTCTGCTTTCAACACCTTGAAAGAAGCCTTCACTTCTGCTCCTATCCTCACACATTGGCTACCCGACGCCCCCCTCATTGTAGAAACCGACGCTTCCGACTACACAATCTCGGGAATCCTGTCCATCCGCTGTGATGACGGAGAGATTCGCCCCATCGCTTTCCGCTCTAGAACACTCTCGGTGCCGGAGCTCAATTATGACACCCATGATAAGGAACTGCTTGCCATTCATGATGCATTCCGATTGTGGCATCATTACCTTGAAGGTTCAGGAACCCCAATCGACGTCGTCACCGACCACAAGAACCTCAAGTATTTTTCCACCACCAAACTCTTGACCCGGCGGCAAGCCAGCTGGTCAGAGTTCCTCTCCCAGTTCCACATGACTGTCCGATTCCGTCCCGGAAGACTCGGAGTAAAACCGGATGCGTTGACTAGACACTGGGACGTCTATCCCAAAGAAGGGGATATGGACTACGCTCACATCAATCTGCAGAACTTCCGATCGGTCTTCACTTCGGAGCAGCTCACTGCGTCCTTACGAGCTACGTTCCTAGCTGCCACAGTAATCCGTGCAGCCGTACTCATCGACACAGAGGCTCTTCATCGAGACATTCTAGCCTCCCTCTCCTCTGACACCACAATCTCTTCTCATCTCGCTTCCCCCAACCTCCCCAATTCCCGCTGGTCCATTGATGCCGAAGGCCTGTTGAGGCTGGACAACCGCATTTACGTTCCGGATTCTAACGATCTCCGTCTCCGCATTTTGCGAGACAAACATGACCACCAACTTTCTGGACACTTCGGTCAAAACCGGACTCTGGATCTAGTGTGTCGTGAGTATACCTGGCTGGGCATCCGTAACTTTGTCACGAGTTACGTATCCTCCTGCACTTCTTGTGCCCATGCCAAAGTTCCCCATCATAAGCCTTACAGCTTGCTCAAACAACTCCCCATCCCCGAACGTCCTTGGAACTCCATCTCCATGGATTTCATCGAACAGCTACCCTCCTCTTCTGGATTCACTTCCATCTTGGTTGTCGTGGACCGCCTGTCCAAACAGTGCATTTTCATCCCTACCCACGACACCATCACCTCTCCGGAACTGGCCAAGCTCTTCCTCCTCCATGTGTTCTCCGGCAACTGCCCTGACTATGCCACTCAGGCTCGTGGGGGATGTCTCCCAGAATGTCTCGCACTGAGAACCCCAGGTATCCTCAAGGTACAGGCTCAGACTAGTTGCTACCCACTCTCTGTGTGAGCCAACTATCTGCCCTTTTTCCTGCTTTTGGACTGCCCTCAGGTGTTCTCACTTGTCCGACTCTGGACTTCCATGACTCTCTTGTTCGTGGCTGTGCAGTCACGGGATCGTGAGCTGCGACTAGTATGTACATAAGTAAATATGGAAGAATGAGGAGCCCAGGCTAGGGTGTGAAACCCACAAAGGCTGGTGGTTTGCAGTACACAGGGTTATCCCTGTTACAATGCATATCGGCTAAGGCTCCCTGACTCCTACCCGATGCACAATGTGGTCAACATGGCTCACTTAAGGCCATACCGGCCTGCAGGAGACGGCTTGCAACCCCACCTGTCCAACCCTAGAGACAACATTAGAGCCTTGGAGGAGTTCAAGGTGGACAATGTGGTGGGGCACAGGAGACAAAAAGGGAAAACATTATTCAGAGTTTGGTGGGGGCCCAGGAAGATACATGGGCGACCGAAAGAGACCTCAGGAACGCACCCGAAATACTTGGGAAATATAAATTGAGGGCTGGCTTGAGCAGACACTATTAAGCACCAACTGCCCAATCAAGCAAAGTCGGGACATCCTGAGTCGGAGCCAGATCATGGCATCAACCGATCACCGCTCATTCCCCAATCACTATCGATCTCTCCCACTTCTCTACCTCATCCCATGTCGCTAGCCTTTGCCAGCATCAGTTGAAGACCCACCCCCAGCAACTCTGTTGTGATCACCAACGCTCATTGGGTGGATCATGCCGGACTAGAAGCCATAGAGATCGATGCAGAGCCATTCAAAATCGCTCCATCACATAGTATGTGGTTGAATGGTCAGTTTGGGGCATCAGATCCCATATTCTCCTATGTACCTGTTAGAAGCCTGGGCTCTGGACCTTGTCTGCTCGATCGACTATGGTTGCTGGCCCCAGAAGACCATCATCTCAACGAGGTGGAAGTATTGAAAGAAAACCATAACCAGAATATACCGCCCAGAGCCCTTACCCTGCTGCTAGAGCATTGGCAGGCAGCCAAGACGGCCACACTCACAGCTGAAGCCCACTCATCCCTACAACTACCAGCAGAATTGCATGATGTCATCTACAGAGTAGAGTTGGAAGCTGGAGGAGACCATGAACAAGATCGAAACCCTTTTGCCTTCCCATTCACCCCATGTGTCATGACCGACAAATCCCAGGGCTCCATCAGCGGCGAATCAAAGCCAATAGGTGAATCTGCCGACCCGAAACCTGATCCAACCAGCCCTCAATCCGATGTCTGGCCCCCTGCCCTATCGAGTGAGACTTTGCCAACAATCAGACCCTGGACCCTGCCAGCATTCCGACTTCACTTCCAGTTCCCAAACCTTTGGTGCTCCTGGCATCCAGTCCCTCTGGTTCCTCCTAGGCCTATAGCACAACTCAGTCTCACATCCCTGCCTCCGCATCCTCCACATATTTTGCATCTTCCATATTCCGCACATCTTCCACGTCCAGACCTCTGCCCACCTCTGCACCCTCTGCACTCCTGGTTGACCTCCACACCCTGTAGTCAGGTCAACACTCCCCTCCATACCTTTGCTGGCCATCATGCTGTCCTCATTTGTGACAGCACTGACGGACCACCCTCTGTTGCGGACTTATCAGTGCTGCGCTGATTCCCGCATCCCATTTCGCAGACTTGTGTCGGTGCTGTGTGCCGACCCCGCTTTTCCTTTGGCTTTTTGCCACTTGGCAGCATTCATTCATTCCTTGCCGAGTGCCTATTATGTTCACCCATTTCATTCGCTTAACTTGCCAATATTGGCACTTGATCCGTGTGCTATTGCACTTTCCTATTCATTCATTTAATCTGTCAGTTTGATAAGTCCCCGCTCATTTCCGCTTATTTCCGCACCGGACTGACTGGTCCCTCTTTTGATGTCTCTTACCTACTTATACCTTGTAAATACTTTTGGGGACCTCAGTCTGAAATCAACTAGAGTACCCCCCTGTCTGGTCTGAGTCCCTCCTTCTGCAAAGGGGGCTTCCCCCCTCTGAGTCCATGCTTGCAGAGTCCACGCTCCTCCTACAGGTCCGCTCCGCCCACAAGTCTTGTTTGAGGTCCGCTGTAAGTGTCAGTCTGTAAATACGGGATCTCCCCCAAACGTCAAGCTCAGGGCACAGCGAGTCGCTGAGGCCACGATCCCACTCTGCTAACCTTTGTCATATCCATGCATATCCGATTCCGACCCGACTCCCGGACCTCCTTCTTCACCACCTCCAGAGTCCTGCCCTACTGCTGTCCGTTCCGATATTCACCCTCGGTCCTGACACCACACCTCCTCTCACCCCCCCATGTCACCTCCACTCCTCCGTCCCTCTCCTGTCCTATCTCCATCCACTCCGATACTCACCTTGGACCGAACACCACTCCTCTTGCCACCCTCCTACTACTCCTCCTCCCACTCCTCTGCTTCCTCCCCACAACACCTCCACCCTTCCGTCACCCTCCTACTCTTCTCCCATCCGCTCCGATACTCACCTTTGGACCTGACACCTTTCCTCTCCTCCACACCTTTCCTCATTCCTCCTTCCTCTCTCTCCCCTCTGGCCCTCTTCCATCGACCCCCCACCAAGTTACGACCTTCTGCCGCTGTCCCATACTTCGTACTCGAACACCGCTCATGTTAAAAACCCGTCGGTTATGGAAGAGGGGGTAAATGCGTGAGTCCGAATGCAGGCGGTGTCATATCCATACAATCCCGACCTCCGCTCCGGGCTCCTGGAACTCCGAACTCCGACTTCCGGAGCCCTACTTCCCTTCCATCACTTTCTCCTTGCCGACTCCCAAGAGGTTATCCCACCTCCGGCTCAGACACCACCTTCGGTCCGACTCCGGAACATTCCGGGTCCGACCCCAACCTCGACACCTTCCAGACGAGTACGCAAAACCTATGCTCCCGACTCCGGACCTCCGCTCCGGTATCCCGTTCACGTCTCGTCTCCGGAACCTCCGGTCTTAGCTCCGACCTCGGACTTTGACCCCACCTCCGCTTATACCCATTGTATTGGTTAGCTCATTCCATTTAATTACCTTTGCCAATATTCCGGAGTTTAACCTCCGAGTTCGGACTTTCCGGACTTACTCCGGACCTTGCAACTATTGCATTGTCCATTTCAATTCCGCGATTCTCCCTCATTCCTATTTGGGCTGCTGCTTCCTTCTATTCAGTCAGCTAGCCATTCCCGACTCCCATCCTCCTTCCTTCCTCCTTGGGCCTTGGCCCTTCATTCCTCTTTTGGGAAACACCATTGAGTCAAACACTTGACCCTCGGTGTTGTTCCTCTTTCCATCTCCCTTTGTCTCCTTTTGTCCTACCCTTGTTCCTTTTGATTCCGGACCCCTCCTTATATACAATGTACCTAGTAACTTGTAACCTCAGTCCGAAATCGACTGGAATTCCCCCCCAAGAGACTTTCCCTCTGCTAGATCCGAAATTAGGGACCCCCAGGACAACCAGCAATGGCACAGCGCTCCGCCTGAGTCGCTGAGGCCGAGGTCCTTCCATGCTAAGTCTCCGATTCCATTCCGGAGTCGTCCGAATCCCCGCATTCTAACAGGCGGGGCTCAACTAGAGGGGGGTCCGAGGGCTCCGGTAGTGAACCGAAGCTTCTCAGGGAGCCCGGTTCTGCTGGATGGTACAAGAGGCTCTAAGAAGGACGCGGCCTCAGTGACTCGGAGGGAGCGCTGTGCCTCTGTTACGTCTCAGTTAGTCCTTGTATTTCTTATGTCTGAGGTGTCTTGTAGAACAGGGACAGGATTCACTCAGAGGGACTTTGGGTGGCATTTTAGTCAAGATTAGAACTGAGGAACTACAGGTTCTAATCTACGTGTATTTATAAAGGAGGATGGGGAGGACTTTAGTCAAAGCCTGAAATGACAAAATGGGGAAAACACCGAAAGGTACTGAATGATACCGAGAGGTACCGAAAGGTTCCGGACGATATCTAAAACGGGGAACCGAGGTGTCGGGCCAAGGAGGGCGGAGTTGGAGGCCGGAAAATGGATGGGGAAGACAAATGGGTAAAGGGGGTTAGCCGACTGAATGGTAGTAAGAAGGTAGTCGTGCTAAGAATGGAAGATGACTAATAAGTGATAGCGTGAAGGAGATCACCGAAGGATGCGGTTAGCTCCGAAAGCGGAGTTGCGTATCCGAAGGATGTTGGGTGACTCCAATAAATGAAGTGGGTGAAGGAATGGTTTAAGGGCATGTCATGGGATGTCGGAGGTCCGTCAGGATATCGGAGCAAATCCGGGGTCTCTGAATGTTCCGACTTGGGACCGAGGTTCCAGGATGGGAGTAGCCAAGGTTCGGTGTGCCGCAACCAGACCGGAGCTGAGACAGTCAGGAGGGAAGGTGACTTGGAGAGTGGGGAGGCATGGTGTAGGGGATGGTGAAGTTGTTAGGAAGGAGTGATGTGGTGGGAGTGCGCAGGGTCGGGATTCCAGGATATGACAGCTCATACCTTTGCTCCGAGCCTCTGTCATAGCTCCTACCTTGGACTTTGACTCCACCTCAGCCTTAGTCCATTGCATTGGTGACCTCATACTACGTAAACACCATTGCCAATATCCCTCAGACTTTCAACCCCACCTCCGTAACCTCCATAACCTCTGTAACCCCTGAGCTCCACGGATCACCTTCGGCACTTTCGCCGCTTGTAATGTATCTCTTGCATTTTCCCCTCATCCCTATTTGTACTGCTGCTTCTTCCCATTCTAGCCAGTTAGTCATCATCCCCACTTCCCCTCATCCTCCTGCCCCTCTGGGCCTCGCCCTCCTTACCTCCTTTCAGACGTACCACAGGTTCTGCCTTATGACCTTCAGTACCGCTCCGCTTCTGTCATCCCTTTGTTCCCGTTCGGATGCCTTTGTTCTGATTCAGATCCCCTTTGTTTCCTTGTGCTTTTTCCCTCTCCATTATATATATCAGCACTTGTACATACTCGTTTTAGTCCTTAGTCTAAAATCGACCTGAAATGCCCCCTAGAGACTTCCTGCTCGCCTCCTATGAAATTAAGGACCAAATGGACAAACAGCAATGGCACAGCACTCCACTTGAGTCGCTGAGGCCAAGGTCCCTCCTTGCTAAGTCTCCAGTTCCCCTCTGGAATCGTCCGCCCTCGCCCAGTTCTAACATAGGGGGAGAGTATAATGAATCACCAAAATCGCGATGTAGAACAGCATTGCGCATCTTGGTGACATGGCACTTAACAGCGCCAGGAAAGCGTCCCTCTTGGCCTGCAGAGGGCCAAGGAGGTGGTTTGGATTCGACTTCCTGCAGAGTGGAAGGAGTAGGTGCTGCTGGGTTGTCAAACCCAGGAATTGCTGATGCGCTGGGCAGCTCTATGAGCTGGCACTTGGCAGCAGCTGAAGCGCTGCCGATTCCATCTATAACCGATGGTAAACCTGTCGTTTGGGCCTCCAGTACAACATCAGATCGATGCTCTGCTCCCACTGGGGGAGGAGAATCGCTGAGAATTTTACCCAGCGAAGCGCTGGGCAGCTCCTTGTGTTTGCACTCTACAGCACTAGGGAGATGATTATTCCATCCCAAACTGGGTGGAAGGAAAGTCTTAAAATGCCTCCCCAGTGTGCAAGTGAGTGGGGAGGGAAGTTGGGCCTGAGTGGCCATGGGTGGGTCGACTTGCATTTTTGTCTGCGGCTTTGGCTTGTCACATCGATTGAGTGCAAATAGAATTCATTGATTTTCTTATCGAATCCTCAATGGCAGTGGTCAAGGTGGTAACCACTGACTTCCAACTGGGTGGTGTTGGCTTTCAAGCTGGCAAGGCCAGTTCTGACTTTGTTGATGTGTTCACATAATACTCGTGTGCTCTTGAAATAGGGAGAGCGGGCCCATGTGTTAGAACTTGTGGATTCGGATGACTCCGGAGTGGAATCGGAGACTTAGCATGGAAGGACCTCGGCCTCAGCGACTCAGGTGGAGCGCTGTGCCATTGCTGGTTGTCCTAGGGGTCCCTAATTTCGGATCTAGCAGAGGGGAAGTCTCTTGGGGGAATTCAAGTCGATTTCGGACTGAGGTTACAAGTTACTATGTACATTGTATATAAGGAGGGGTCCAGAATCAAAAGGAACAAGGGTAGGATGAAAGGAGACAAAGGGAGATGGAAAGAGGAACAACACCGAGGGTCAAGGGTTTGACTCAATGGTGTTTCTCAAAGGAGGAATGAAGGGCCAAGGCCCAAGGAGGAAGGAAGGAGGATGGGAGTGGGGAATGGCCAGCTGACTGAATAGAAAGGAAGCAGCAGCCCAAATAGGAATGAGGGAGTATAGCAGAATTGAATGGAGCAATGCAATAGTTGCAAGGTCCAACATAAGTCCGGAAAGTCCGAACTCGGAAGTCAAACTCCGGAATATTGGCAAACGTAATTAAATGGAATGAGCTAACCAATACAATGGGTATAAGCGGAGGTGGGGTCAAAGTCCAAGGTCGGAGCTAAGACCGGAGGTTCCGGAGACAGAGACGCGAATGGGATTCCAGAGTGGAGGTCCGGAGTCGGGAGCATAGGTGTTGCACACTCATCTGGAAGGTGTCGAGGTTGAGGTCGGACCCAGGATGTTCCAGAGTCGGACCAAAGGTGGTGTTGGAGCCGGAGGTGGGATAACCTCTTGGGAGTCGGCAAGGAGAAGGTGACGGAAGGGAAGTAGGGCTCCGGAATCAGTTTTGGAGTTCCAGGAGCCCGGAGTGGAGGTTGGGATTGTACGGATATGATGGTGAATGCAAAGGCGGCAGTAGGACAGATGCCAAGTGGGATTGAGATGCTGTGACAGGTTCAGCATCTCCTGAGATGGTACAATGCATATGACACGTTGCTGGGCCCTCACGGGCCCAGATCACCACTTCCAGATGGAGTGGTGTTGACTCCCACCATGGGACTGGAGGAAGGGCCAGCCGTGTGGGTGTGAGTCTGGAACTTCCTGGTTGTGAGCATCAGGAAGTAAGATCAAAGGTTCCGGTGTGAACCTTGAGTGAATGTGTGTGTCATCAGGGACAACGATGCATGGGTTGCCAAATGGGGTTCTGGCACCGGTGTCATGGTAGCTTCCCAGATCCTGAGATTGGGAGGGGTTGCCTCTACTCTGAGGCACAGCCTAGGTGAGTCTAGGAACAGTACATGCATGATTTTCACATGAGAGCTAGGCACAAATGCATGTTGTCAGGCTAGACAACGTGTGCATGATCAATGATGTGTGTTGTCAGGGTAGACAATGCATGTGGGATACAGTAGGGTTCCGTCACCAATCACAGTGCCAAGATTGTAAAAGGAAACTAGCTTAAAAAAGTGAAGGGTTGCTTACTATTTTTGGGACAGTAACGTTCCGTTCCCCTGTTCACCTCAGGCCTCAGTAGGTCCATCTAAACATAAGCTTTGATGGGCTGTATATTCAATGGGGTAGAGGTAAAAGGCTACCAGGCCTTTACAACTACTCCGAGGTATATATATGTAATTTACATATCTCGGCACAACTAAATAAAGAAATAATAGCACCACTATAATGGGAATTATAGCAATGCAACATAATGATATCACTATAATCGGAATTATAGTGAAGTAAGGTTAATCCCTTACAGGACTGCATGGACGAAGTCCAGCAATATTGCATCCATTTTGGCTCCACTGTCAAATAGCATGTAGGTTTTTATGCCTGCTATTTTTACGTGGGCCATCAATGTTCTCTTTGTTGAGAGTGGTCTGTTTGCAGGATATTTTCCCATGTCTTTTGAGATGCGGAATTTCGCATCAAACAAGGGGGTCTGGGTTTTGATGGACTTTTGGTCCTTCTTCCCTTTCTCCTGGTTTTCCTTGGGCACTTTCGTGTATTTCCCCAAGGCACTTTTCTTGGTGCTTCCATCAAGGCTTTGGCAACTCTCTTGTCTGCTGTGTTTTCTAACTGGCATGCCATGGCCAGTTTGATTTTGTAATTTATGTCGTTGTGGTTCAACACCTGCCATTGGGCCCATCCTTATGGTCCCCAAGTTAACTTCCTC